CCCGACCCTGCTCCTTGCCGAGCCCGCAAGCCCTCCGCGTCCCGCCCGCCGCGTTCCTCCGGGAGCCCTCCCCGGGCCAGCCCGTGCGGCCACTTTCCGGCTCCTGCCTGACGTCCCGGAGCGCCCGGAGGCCCAGCCTTCCTCCCTGCTCACGCCCTCCCCACGCGTCTCCCCACTGCCCAGGCTGCCCGCCCTGCCTCCTGCGGCTGTGGCTGCTGGCCCGCCTGAATCCCCCGCCCGCCCCGAGAGTCCCCGCAGCCTGGCCCTCCCCACGGCCGGTCCGGCCTGCCAGGTCTCCTCACCCCCTGCCTCCCGCCCCAGGCCGCAAGTTCTTGATCGCCAATGCCCAGATGGAGAACTGCGCCATCATTTACTGCAACGACGGCTTCTGTGAGCTCTTTGGCTACTCCCGAGTGGAGGTGATGCAGCGGCCATGCACCTGCGACTTCCTCACGGGTCCCAACACCCCCAGCAGCGCCGTGTCCCGCCTGGCACAGGCCTTGCTGGGGGCCGAGGAGTGCAAGGTGGACATCCTCTACTACCGCAAGGATGGTGAGGCACGCGCGGGCCAGGGGCCAGGCAGGGCAGGCTCGGCCTCTCTCCCGCCCAGCCGGCCGGGCTCTGGGACTTCAGGGCCTGGACAAGCCCTGCTTCCCCCAGGGGCCCCTGTCTCCTGGTCTGCCGGGGAGCAACGGGCACTGCGCGCTATGCCTCATGGGGTCCTCTTGGGGCTGGGGAGATGTCTTCCTGCGCCACCTGCCCTCCCCCTCCCTGTCTCCTGGCTCTCCACTCTGTCACTGTCAGCCCAGCTGTCAGGCAGCTGGGACGGAAATTAACCTTCCCTCATCTCCGTCTGCTCTGGGGATTAGAGAAGAGCCCCCCTCCCAAGGCCTCTGTGGCCAGGCAGGGCGTGGGGGCTTTCGGCGGGGAGAGAAGGGTGGGCCCGGCAAGCCCAGCCCCCGCTCTTTGGCGATGGGGTCTGGAGTTGGCCCCGGCCTGGAAGCTCCTCCAGACAGAGTTCAAGGCAGCGGGGCCCACCCTGGCTCACTGCATGCCCAGGAGGAGTGCAGGCCGGGCTGAGGACAGGGCTCGGTGGCCCTGGGGCTCCTCCCCTGACACCCCCGGGGCTGAGTGGGAACACGAACTAAGCCTGAAGGCCGTTCAGAATCTCCTGGGTCCATGGCCCCAGCCTGCTTCTGCATCAGACCCACCTGGGGCATGTTTTCCAACACACACTTTCCCCAGAGAGATGCTGACTCAGAAGGTGTGAGATGAGGCCAAGCAGGTGCATTTGGAAAACTCTCCCTGGGGGTTCCGATGTCCTGCTGCATTCAGGAACCACTGGTGTGGGTGAATGCCTGTTTCCTGAGCGTGGAGGGACTTGCTCGGGATCCCACGATGAGGGCTGTCCCACCTGGAGCGGGAACTCTAGTCTCTGGATTCCTGCCTCAGAAATGTCTGCTCTGAACCCCAGGCGGGGAGAAAGGACCCCAGCTGCCTTTGTGCCTGGAGACCGGATTGTGGGGAAGGAAGCCCCCAGGAGAGGGACCCCCAGGAAGGCAGGTGGGAGGCCAGTGGGTGCAGATACAGAGCAGCGTCTTGGAATGGGACCCGAAGAGTGCAGAGAGCTGGGAGCTGGGGCCTGGTGTGTGTGTGGAATGTGAGTGTGTGTTTTCCTGGGGGCTTCTGGGGCAGGTTCTGGCTGTCCCCCCAGCTGTCCCTGCTGCTGCCACCCAAGTGAGCAGCAGGTGGAGGGGCAGTGGCTGGGGCGGCAGTGAGGGCCCTGGGAAGGACCTGGCTCAGTGTGGCAGACTCACAGGGTTCACGAAGTCAGAGTATTTTCAAAAAGCTGTGACCTCACCTCGTAACATCCCTGCAGGGAGAAGGTGACAGCCAGGGTCCTGGGGGAACAGGATGGGGCGGTAGGAAGCAGGGAGCACAGCAGGTCTTTTCTTTCTCTCCTCTTTACCCCAGGGCTCTTCCTGGGCCCTAGGAGGTGGAGAGGTGATCCCAGACTCTAGAGACGTCAGGCCAAGGAGCTCCCCACGGCAATCCACAGGGGTCTGGGCAGGGGCAGAAGTTAGAGCCAGGCCTTGGCACCCGGGACCTGGACTCGGGTCTCCAGCACCCAGGGGGCCTCAGCTATCAGAAGGGAAGCTGGGATCTGGTCTCGGAGGCTGGCCCCAGGTGACGATGAGAACTCACCCGCTTTCCCGTTCCCGCAGGCTCAACCTACCCCACCCCTCCCTCAGCCCTCCCCCACCTGTTGCCCAAGACTCTGACTTCCGGGGCCTTCCTGAAATTGGCCTGAAGCCCAGAAAAGAGAGTCTCCTGGCCTGCATGACCCTAAGGGAAGAATGCGGTGCTCAGATAAACCTGCCTTCGCCTTAAGTCCGCTCTGATCACAGAACCCTTTATCATCATTCTCTTCACTCCATCCTACAACCCTGCTGAGGAGTGTCCCAATGGTGATTTCTCCCCTCCTCAGTTCAATACCTTCCCCCCTCCCCGCCCCCAACTCCAGGGAGGTGGGAAGGGTCCTGAACAGATCTCTAGCTGATCTATGGATAATCCTCTTTTCCTCCAAAGAGGTAATCCACTGACAGTTCTCCAAGTCCGAGTGGAGGGTCTGTGCGTGTGTCTCCACGTTGTACAGGACACAGCTGGGCTCAGAGGCCAGGGCACTTGGCCCAACGCCCTGGGAGACCAGGGTCAGAGGCCCCCAAGAAACTGGCTCTTCCTCTGTCTGCCTTTGCTAGGAAAAGTGAGAATTAACAGACAAGGAGGGGCTGTGATTTTGGTAGGACCAGAACTGGCCAGAGTCTGGAGGGAGGACACTCAGATCTGCACCCCTGCTCACCCCCCTGGGACACCCGCCAGAGGGCCAGCCCTCCCCCCTGGAGCACCCGCCTCCAGGAGCCAGCCCTGCCTGCCTTTTCCAGGTGCTCTTCTCTGACAGTCCCCAACCAGCCAGGCCAGAGGGGGCCTGGGTCTAGCCCTCAGCTCCTAGGGAGGAGGACAGAGCGAGGTGCCGCTGTCAGCGCCCCCCGCCCTCTCCAGTGCCTTCTGCATGCTCACCTGTGATGCCTGGAGGGCCAAGCTGGGGCAGCAGGGGTGGCCACCCTCCTAGTGACAGCTTGGCGTAGCGCCAGCCCCTCCTGGGAGTTCACACACACTAGGGAGGCGCTTCGAGAAACTGGGTGAAGGACAGCAGGGGCAGAGTGGGAGGTGTGTGAGTGACAGGCACTGAAGGGAGGGCACTTCGAGGGGCAGAGATGACCAGGGCGCAGGTGTCGGCAAACCGCTGCCCTTGGTGAGAGAGGTGGGTGCTGCGGGGAGCCCCTGGAAGGAGGAGCAGGCAGCGCGGCTCCTCCTCCGGGGGCCAGGCAGGGGACGGGAGCACTGTCGCCATGGGCACCACTCAGATGCATGCGCCCGCTTTCTGTTACCCTGACACAGTCGCTGTGGGCTCTGAGCTCTGGGCCCATGGAGACAGTGCCCTGCTCTCCCCCAAATTCTGCCCACCCCACGGACCCGGCCCCGCCCCTCTCTGCCCGCACTACTGTGCCAGGCTGGCCTGGGTCCGTCCCCGACTGCCGTTGGTGTGGGTTTCCCCGCCAGCATCTGTGGAGGGCAGCCCCAGCGGCCTGGGAGCCTGGAGGCCCTTCCCCTCTGCCCAGCCCTGCCACTCCCTGCCCCACACCGGTGCCAGAGGGACTTAGGGTGGGGGCTGGCCTTGGCAGCAGTGCCTCAGGCCTCAGCCGAGGAGGCTTCCTGGGAGGCCGGTGTCCAAATCTTGCTGTGCCCCAGGCCAACAGAGCAGCAGGCTCGGCCTGGGAGCCCTGGAGTGGGTGAGGCCAGGAAGGCAGTCTCCCTGGTGTGGGTGTCTCCCCTGGGCCCAGGCAGCAGCTGGCAAATGTCCACCTGGTGCCTGAGAGTCCTGGAATCTGATCCGGGAGACTCCTGCTCCCCAGGGGGAAACTGAGAGGGAGCATGGTGGTGGCTCAGAGGCACCTTGGCTATGAAGGCTGTGAGGAGCGGCTGAGGGCAGTGGGCACTAAACAGGGAGTCTGGTGGAAAGCGAGCCTCGTGGTCCCCTGAGTAGCCTTGCTCCTGCCAGCGCCGTGTCCCACCCACACAGGCAAGCGCCTTCACCAAGACGGGCGAGCCAGACCTGCCACCCTCCAGGAGAACGGCTCCACCTTCTGCCCTCACAACCGAGGCCCCTGCCCCTAGAAGCCCGCCCTCTGGGCCTGATACCAGCCAGACTTTGAGTGGCGGGACAGAGGACACCATGGAGGGGGCTCACCGGCACCCGCCCACAGGCCAGGGCTCCGGGCCTGCGGCGTTTTCGTTTCGCTGGTTCTGTCCCAACCCCGAGGGGGCTGCAGGGAGACCCTGGCTCCGAGGGCGAGAGGCAGAGGCCCGCGGCTGGGTCCCGACTGCCCAGGAGGGTGGCGGGAGGGTCTGTGCTGCCTCCACATGGCCGTCTCCCTCCCTCTCTGGCCCCCAAGCCGTGGCCCTGCCGGTTCCTGGGGCCCAGCCTCTGCCATGGGACCCACACTCCCTCTAGGCCCAGGGTAGCAGCCTGGACCCAGCCCAGCCCCAGCACCCCCTCCCGACGAGCCCTGTTCCTTTCCCAAGCTGCTGTGAGCAGAGGCCCCGGGGTCGCTGCTCCACGCCCCCCGTGCTCCAGCCCATCCGTGTTTCAGAACCCCGGGCTGTCGTCTGCGTGATGAGTCTGTGCCTGTCCCCCCAGGACTCCTGAGGGCGCTCGGCACTAGTGTGTTCTCAGAGACGTTCCTTCCCGCGTAGGGGAGCAGGCATCTTTGTGGGTGGGAACGTGGGCCTGAGCGCAGGCCAGCCCGCACGGCACAGGGTCGCACGCCAGCCTCACCTCCCCTTAATCCCCCCGCATTTGCTGGGCTTTAATTACTGCAGAAGCAAACCTCGAGGTTAAGCCCTGAGCGGCGGCCGAGCACGGACACAGGCCTGATGCCACCTCATCTCCTAATGACGGCTTAGCGCGCTCCCCGCCTCTGCCTGTGGGTGGGGGCCCGCTGGGCGTCCTCGCCCACCCTCTGCCAAGAGCCCTGGGCGCCTCCAGGCCCCGCCGCCCTCACCGGACCCCCTCCCAGCCCCCTCCCTCGCCAGGTGGCTGCGGGAGGGCCCCAGCCCACCCCCACGCGCCCATGGTGTTTGCAGCCTCCAGCTTCCGCTGCCTGGTGGACGTGGTGCCCGTGAAAAACGAGGACGGGGCCGTCATCATGTTCATCCTCAACTTCGAGGACCTGGCCCAGGTCCTGGCCAAGAGCAGCAGCCGCGGCCTGACCCGCCGCCTGCTGCCGCAGAGCTTCCTGGGCTCAGGTGAGGCGCGTGCGGGTGGCAGAGGGGCACGCGGCTCCTCGCGCCAGCGGCTCTGACCCCAGCCTGGTTTCAGAGGGCTCCCGCGGCCGGTCCAGCGGCCCGGGGCCGGACCCGAGCAGGGGCAAGTACAGGACCGTCAGCCAGATCCCACAGTTCACGCTCAACTTCGTGGAGTTCAACCTGGAAAAGCACCGCTCCAGCTCCACCACGGAGATCGAGATCATCGCGCCGCACAAGGTGGTGGAGCGGACGCAGAACGTCACTGAGAAGGTCACCCAGGTGCGGGCCTGCCTCCTGCCTGTCCAGCCCCGGCGTCAGTCCCAGCCCAGGCCACCTGTCCTGCTGGTCCCACTGCTCTAGACCCAAAGTCCTGCCCTGAGGTCCCAGCACAGGGCCCGGCTCCTGGAGCCCGCGGGGGCTGGGGTCATGCCACCGCCTAGGCCTGGGGAGCCTGCAGCGGGGAACACGCAGGCCACCATGGCTCTGCTGGCCACAGGGAAGGGAGATCAAGAGGAGATGCGTCAGGCCTTCAGAGATCCAGGAAGGCAAGTGGCCAGGGAGACCCCAGCCCCACTCTGCCTCTCATCTTTGAGACGATGGCCAGACAGCCACCCTCCCGGCTGCCCTAGCACGCACATGGGGTCCACCTCCAGGCCCCTCAGGTTGGGCACCTCATCTCCCTTTGATCAGCCTGCTGGGAGCCAGGCCCCGGAGGACCCACCCCCTGAAGCCCTCCTTGGCCCGTCCCAGGCAAGCGTCCCTGGGTCCTCTGTTTTCACCGGCTCATGGACTTGAGGGCCTGGCCACTCCAGAGGGAAACGCAGAGCGCCCTGCCTGAGGCTCCAGTGACCAGGGCCTAGCACAGACTTGCTGTGCGACCTTGGGCAAGGGATCCCCTTTCTGGGCCTCTGGGCCCTCCTCTGCAGGACAGAGTTGAACTCGAGGGGCCACGAGGAGTAGCTGATATTGAGTCGTGCCAGCCTCGGAGGCAGGTGCGACTCCAGGGGCCAGGCCCAGGCCAGGCCGGGCAGGGGTGCAGGGTCAGGGGCTGCTCCCAGCCTCCCGGGACAGCCCTCGTGGGCCGGGCAGCCTCTCCGCCCTGCCCTTCTCATCCGAAGCACAGTTGCTGCTGGAACCTGGTGTGGGAGACCACATAGCCCTTCCTGGACACGGGAACCTGGTGGCGGGGGGGAGGTACGCCAGGCCACAGGGCCGAGCCCTCTGAGGTTTGGCCCTGGGAGGCCCCAGTTGCTCATCCAGGCCCCTGGGTTGGTGCTGCGGGTGTGGCCACCATGGTGCGGACTGCTGAACTGGAGGGCAGACCCTGAAGCCTGGTGGCCCTGCCTGCACCGCCCCACCCGCCTGTTCCTGTCTTGCTCCTGCCCAGCCCCTCTGGGCTTCCTGCCCCCCAGTGCGGGCCTTAAGGTGCAGGGCGATGGCCAACAGAGTCCAGGGGAGGGCCGGTGAGGGTCCAGACAGCGAAGTCACACGAGCCTCACCCCGAACTCAAGGGGTCTGGAGGGCCGTGGTCTCACCAGAGCCCCAGCTCCTGAGGGCCTGCTCTGGGGACAGGGGCAGGGCGGGGTAGGGTCCTCGTGCTGGTCCCTGTGGGGGAAAGGGCTCCCTCCCCATCTGGGGTCCTGAGGAGCAGAGGGACTGGGCACTCTCAGCAGACTCGACCCCCCCAAATTCCCGCTGCTTCCCTCCCACTCCCCACCCAGGCAGGCTCAGGGAAGGGAGGGCTTTGGTGTTTCTCCCCAGCACGGCTCCGAAGCCCTGGGGAGGGAGGGAGCAGCTCTGACCTGGGCCTAAGGATGTCCGCTCTGACTGGAGCCGGAGCCTCCTGTCTCTTCCAGGCCTCTGAGAGCCGTGTGGGCAGGTGCCGAGCCCCTGGGAGCCTCTAGGCCACAGAGAACAGCCAGGGGCCGGCGTGCACAGGGCAGGGAGGAAACCAAGAGGGTCCGAGACTCTGTGGAATCAGAGAGGGCTTCCTGGGGAGGTGAGGCTGGAGCCAAGGCCTGAAGGCTGAGCAGGAGACACTGCAGACTGGGGGCACAGGGGCCCCTCCCAGGGGCATGGATGTCAGTTGGGAGCCTCTGGCAGGAACCCGCCCTGGGAAGGGTCTTCCTTACGGTGACCCCTTCTGCTGGTGACCTGGTCTGCAAGTCACACCTCACGGTGCAGACTGAAGCCAGAACCCCCCACTGGGCCTCATCTGGGGAAGGCGGGCCCCGGGGCTCCTCTGGCTCCATCCTTGTTAGGCCGTGTCTGGCCGGGATGCGGCCGTGCCCTCCATGTGCAGACAGGTGCGTCCATGTCATCGCCACGGCCTGGGACTTTGTCACACTCTGCTCCTCCCTTCTGCAGATGGAGGGACTGAGACTTTGCCCAGTGCACTCACAGCACACACGTCAGGCCTGGGCTGCAGCCTTCAAAGCCCCCTTCCTTCCGCCCCAGCTGATTCTCGCACAGGGCAGCAGGGCAGAGCCAGGCCCTGTTGACCTGGGCGGGCCACAGTCCCAGAAGCAGGGGTGGGATACAGAGGGGAGGAGGCTCTGCCGAATGTCGTGATTCAGAGCCCCTTGGGCCTGTGAGAGACTGGGCTCTCTGGTGCCCAGGGCCTGTCAAGGCTCCAGATCAGCGAGCCACCCCTCCCCTTCTTTTTGAGCCAGGGTTTCCCTGCAACCCAAGTCGGAGTGCAGTGGCACGATCGAGGCTCACCGCAGCCTCCACCGAGGCGACGCTCCCAGCTCAGCCTCCTGAGTAGCTGGGACTGCGGGCACACAGCACCATGCCCAGCTAATGTGTTGGTTTTGTGTGGTGACAGATTTCAGCGTTGCCCAGGCTGGTCTCGAACTCCTGGGTGCAAGCAGTCCTCCCGCC